AGATATATAGTTACATTCTCTTAATGAATAGAATGATTTGTTCTAATGGTGTTTGTAAATAGGATATCAAGTCCACATCTTGTACAGCAATTAACCACTGAGAAGAATATATGCAGTGTGTTATTTGTTGAAACTGTACTTCCTATTTGATTTGAAACTGTCTCATTGTTATCTGTTTATCAATAAAATTTTCAAATATAAAAAAACTAGCTCCTCTATAGTCAATGTCTGCCAACACTTAGAAGAAAATAGATGCCTTCTACAAGGCACATATTCTTGTTTTGTAGAAGTTGTAAATTGAAATCTCACTTCTGGAATGGTGATGTAAAGAGAGAAGAGTTAGGGAGGTGGCCAGGTTGTGAAAACAGATGAGATCATGTGTCTTGCCTCTCACTACTTCTGTGTGGAAATAGCTTTTGTCTGTAAAGAAACATGAAAACAGAATACTTGGAAGGGGAGGTGCTTGTGCTTTGCTTGTCCTCCATCAAGGTTTGAGATTCTGTGTGTCCACCAGTCGCACAACGGCCTGTGGACCTCAGGTCCCCTATCTGCTCACCCGCAGGTAATGAGCAGCCTAGATCCTGCAGCAGGGGACTCTGAGCCACCACAGGCATGTCTGGTGGTGCTGCATGGGGTCCAAGTCTCCAGCCCTACTCTCTGAATTCCTGAGGAAGCACCTCCTTAGGGCAGCAACTTTTCCTTCACAGTGCTGCTGTCCTGGCAGGTTTGGAGCCCCAATTCAAGGGCTCTGAGTCCTTCAGACCACCTTTATGGTGATGTGTGTTATAGTTTACCAGAAATTTTGCTTATAGTTTGCTCCTTTTCACCATCTTTCCATGAGGCTCAGGTTAAATTCAATAAAAGAATTACTTTTGTGAGACATTTCAAGGGATTTAAATGTTGAGCTGATGTCATGGCTAATGCTGGGGGATTTTAGTCAGATTTGTGCTAACTATCAAGAACAAGGATCCCAATAGAATGGTTGACAGTGCTGTATCTGTCCAGAAAGGAAGTTTCCCTGAAGAGATCTTGAATGCTGAGGAACAGAATAATAGAAAATATGGCCTGAGTACATCACAAGAGGCAGCAGGACACTACTCTCTGCAGCCACTAGTTTGCAAATATGAAACAGCTCACTTTGAGACTGAAGCTGCAGAGGACTATATTGAAGAATGGCAATGGACACACCATATTCCAGAATGGTAGCAGCCTAGAACCCATGTTCCTTGGAATTGAATTTGTAGAGCTCAATGATTCAGGGACTCTCCTTCTACATGCAAATGAAGGAGAGCCTGGTTATGCTCCTGCTGGTGGCAGAACTTGGTGTCTGTCATGTTGTGGTGTTAGGTGCATGCAGCATGCAACAACTGTGGAATCATGAGGGCTTCCACCCAGATTTCAGAAAAAGGCCTTGGGAGGTCAGAGAGTGTGCCCCTTACACAGCTCTGTGTGTGTGTGTGTGTGTGTGTGTGTGTGTGTGTATTATGGTATTTGTACTACATAACTTTTAAAATGATCAGCTCCAAGGGCTTCAAAATCAACAAAATTTTTACACCTTCTGGGGTCCAAGAGGTTATCACCAAAAAGCATCAACCCAGAGCCCAATTTGTTCTACATTAACATAGATTTTGCAAGTGGGAGATATAAAAGCTCAAAAGTGTGATGAGTTCCTATTGGATAGTACCAGTTATTCTTTATTGCTGAGCAGAAAGCCCTTGAAACATGTCCGCAAGCAGTCTGTGGTTGGATATAGAAAGTCCATGATGTTCAGACTCATCTGAGTCAGGTAATCTCTGGTTTCATCAGTCAAGGCTATCAGGACAGCTATGTAGTGTGCTGCTTAATCTTACAGTGTTCCATTATGCTGTCCAGCTGCTAGTTAATTTTTACATCTCTTAATTTTCCTTTATATCTTTTTCTTTTTTGGCAGAACTGGGGATTGAACTCAGGCCCTTGCACTTGCCATAGAAGTGCTTGTTCTACTGAGCCATCTTGCCGGCCTTAATCTTTTATTTTATTTTTATTTGTTTCCATAATTTTATTGAGAGACAAATAACAATGAGACAGTCCAGCCTTAATCTTTTAAATTTCCATCACATGGGAAGTTGTACATAGGAAAGCAAAAATGCAGTGAACATACTGGGAACTTGGTGAAGCCAGGAGTGTGGATAGTCTGAAGAAAACTGCAAAGAGTGCAGAGAACCAGTCAAAGAGAGAATCATGTGAGATACAAACTCTGGATGAGCAATAAAAGCAGAGGTTCGAGTCTTTGGTAGTTCACAGATTGCACAGATTGCCGTGGATATTACACATGGATATATATGAATTGATGTTTATCCTGATGCACTTTAGACTCACTTTGGTCCCAAACTTCGTATAACCCTCTTCGTAATTTTTGGGATGAAAAAAATCTATCTTCTGCCACTGAATGTTTGAGGGTTTCACATTTTCAGTGGTACAGCAGTTCATACCAAAAAGATGTGGCAACTTGGAACATGGACATTTCAGTAATGATGAAACAGCACATCAGCAACTCTGAGATGGAATAAATGTCTTTTCCAAAATCATGTATTTCAGACAACTGAGCTATCTCTCGAGCCCAGAATAAACGTTTTTGGCATAAAGGAATGTACATGAGACTTTGGGTGATCAGGGTCAGAATTTTATGGCTTGTATCAAGACGTTCGGCCCAAAGCTGGAGGTGATCACTGGGGGACTGGATACTGGGCTGTAGCTGAATCTAGAGTTTCTGGTTGATTTATGATTCAATGCTGATTACCTATTACTCCCCTGATTGAATTAGCACTTTTATGAACCCAGCAATCTGGATACGAATAAAGGGCCACAAATGCACTTGTGTCTCTCTCCTCCTTTGTTGTTTTGTTATTTTTTGACCCTGCAAACCGATACCAATTGCCATGTGTCACCCTACTTTGAAGTCATCCAGTGACAGAATCTAAACTCGTTCATCTGTAAGGTAAATAAATCTTTCATTCTTTCAATTTGGGTGTCAGGTATTTGGTCTCAGCAAAGAGAGAATGATGCATGGGATGCCATTTCGGAGTTTGAGTGGCTTTGCTCTCTTTATGGTTGGAATTTACATTTCCTCTAACAGGAAAGTTCATTTCCTTTTGCCCAGAACAATGCCCAACTCTGTGGATGTGCCTGGTGTCATATGGTACTGATCTAGGAGCACACTGGCTGCTGGCAGTTTGTGGCCAATTTGGATGAAACCCTTCATAGAGAATTCTAAGTAGCTGTAAGTGTACATACCTTTTCAGGAAATGTCTGGACTGTTGGATATAGGGTGGATGTTTGCTCACCTTTTCAGAACCCATCAAACGCAGTATAATGCACCTCATTAAGAATTGTCCTATATTATGAAATGACATTTGGTGTAAATGTTAAATAGACATTGCATTAAAATAATCACACCTGTCATTTTTACTTTTCTGTTGTGTTCACCAAAAGCCAGTGTACCTTCTCTGTGCGGGCCCCAGCAGGTGTCCATGCTTAGCCTCCAGTGTACATCTCTGACCTTGGGCACAATCTCGGGAGTACTTCTTGGGAGATTTGTTAATTGATTGACTGACTGACTTACCATGAGTCCTAACAGAGAACCCCTGTCATTTACCAAGTTAATGGGAGTCACTCCTGCTTAGCAGACAAGCTCCCCAGGAAAGAACAGGATGTGGGTTCCTTGGAATATCTGGAATCACCTTCCTAACCCCAGGTCTTATAGCCCAAGACTGTGGAGATCCCCATCCTCATAACACCCTGAGAAGTCTATATTGCTCTGTCTCCTTTTTGCAGAAATGGAGCTCTGAGACACAGGGACCAGGCAGTTCTGGAGTATAGGGAGACTGAGGCTGCAGGATCATGTGAAGGGGTCAAGGAAGGTGTTTAAAGGAGCCGTAGTATCACATGGTACATAGGAGGAAGTGGCAGAAGCCCCCCCCCCCAGCCTAGAGGAGACTGGGACAGAGGAGCTGATGCCAGCCTGGAGGGAACAAAAGGGGGGTGGGGCAAAAAGGAAAAGAACTGGAACAGAGGTTAAGAGGGAGGGAGGAGCTGGGGCATAGCACTATAAAGTAGAGCTACCTAGTTGAGGATCGTGGTCTTTGCATCACTGCCCTCTGCATCCTACAGCTCCAGCTTCCCCTCCTGTAGACATGGCCTCATCCCTGAGAGTCACTATGCTGCTCCTGGCTGCAGTGCTCTTCGATCTGGCCATGACTCACAAGGCCTTTAAGTTCCATCATAAGAGGTCTCCCATTATTGGTGGCAGGGAAGATGTAGATGCTAGTGATGAAGGTGTGCAGCAGGCTGTGGACTTTGCCCTCCGTGAGTACAACAAGGTCAACAATGACTTGCACCTGAGCCACCTGGTGAGGGTGGTGCGTGCCCAGCAGCAGGTGAGTGATTACCCGTGGTGAGCAGGCCTTTGTAGGAGATGCTGTCCATGTACACACCATGCTGGCTTCCTCCTTCTGCACTGAGCTTCTCTGTCGTTACACAGGCTGTGCTGCATGTACAGGTTGAGGGAATCTCATTCATATAGATGCCCCTGTATCTCTCCCCCAACATCAACCCTTGTAGTTGTTCTGTCTGGGAAGTCCATAGTGAGCAAGTCCAAAAATCACAGCATAGGAATCCTTGGTTGGGTCCTGGCAGGCACAGCCTATGACATATCTTATCAGGCCCCATTCCAATGCCGACTTGTGGAGGCACCAGGTGCCAAGCAAGGGCCAGAGGTTCTCTGGCTAAACCTGACCACAACATTCCCAGCATCTGAGGGAACTGTGAAACGAGTGAGCACAGAGCAGGGACCAGGATCCTGTCCCTGTTCCCTCCTCTCCAACCTCCACCCTATGTCCTTCAGCTCCCAGCTCTGACAAGACCTCAATTCTGCAGAGCAAGTGCAACAAGATAAGAGTGCTTCCTGGATTCTGTGCCCATCCTTTGTGTGGTCACATTTCATTTTGAGGCTCTACTCCATGGTCCCCATATTGTGTTGGTTGTGTATGGATTTGTGAGCCTTAGTGGGCTCAGCTATGCTTAATCCTCAGGTCGCAGGTCTCCTGGATAATCATCCTGTTAGGCTCAGAGCCCGCTGGGGAGGAGCCACCCTACAGCGTGGACATGAAGTGTTGGCTCAGTGCCCTAGACTGCTCTCAAGTCAGCCTCTCTTCCTGGGGTCCAGGTCCGAGTGTCTGATCTGGGCTATTTGCCAAGTTCCTATTTCAGTCTTCCTTTGTGACATGAGACTCCTCTTTGTAACTTGTTGGAAGAGAACAAGTTGAATGCAGGGTGGGGCCAATCTACAAGAAGCTCAAGAGACGGGTGGGTTGGCATGGTTTTGGCCTGAGTCCTGGCAAACACAGAGTTCAGCATAGCCTGTAAGTGTGACTGAGGAGGCAGGAGCCCTGAGAGTGTCCTGCTTTTCCTTTCTAGGTGGTGACTGGCATGAACTACTACTTGGATTTGGAGATCAGCAGAACCACATGTGCCAAGGACCAGTCCTCTCAGGATGATTGTCAGCTCACTGAGGAGCCGGTATGAGCTTTAAGTGGGCTGGGAAAAAGCAAGTAGTGGGGAAGTGTGCATGTGTGTGCATGCTCGTGTGTGTGTGTGTGTGTGTGTGTGTGTGGTTTTTCCATGGTATGAGAAGACAACAGAGCAGGGCTGTGCACAATTGACTTGGGTGCTCTGTGGGGCCCTAGCATATGTGGCTTGTGGAGGCTACCTTTGCCTTTGGGGTCTTCCTGTTGGATAAAGGGATGGGGTGACAGCATGGTACATGAGGATTGAGATGTCTCAGGGAGTCCTAGCTTCATCCTGCCTAGAGCCAGTCTCAGCAGTTCTGACCTGGGAGGGCTGAGACCCCCACACTGCCCTCAGCCTCAGGCTTTTCAACAGTCAGGTAACTGGAGGCTGTGCCATGGGCACTAAGTCTCTGTCTTTCTACCCACACCATATATATCAGGGTTACAGTACCTCATACTGTCCTGGGTGCTTCTCAGTGCTTCTTTGGGCTAATGTGAAGGTCCTGCAACATGTAGCACCTTTGCTGCTTGAGTCCCATGGGCTCTTGGCCCTGAAGGATTCATCAATGGGGTCCTGGAAGATGACTACCTTTGACCACTGAGCTGTAGACACTACCCTGTGGGGACTGCACACACACACACACACACACACACACACACACACACACACACTCCATCTCTCTGATGATTGTTGCTGGAGTCATCCTTCTGTCTTGTAGCTGCATTCACCTTTCATCTCTCTTCCTTTGCAGATACAGCTGTGTTCCTTTGTGGTCAACTCTGTACCCTGGGAAGACTCTTGGTCCCTGATAAGGTTCAGATGTCACAGCAGCTGAGGTTCTGTTTTGGACAGGCCACCACAACAGTGCTTACCTATATCCTCTGAAGTGTCCCCAAATTGGCGGTGGAGCTCAGCCCTGATGCAGTCTCCTCAGTGCACTGCATCTGCACTCCATGTCAGTAGACCCCTACAATTAATGTGGATACCCAGGACCTGTCCCCTCTTTCTTTCCTCTGTGCTTCTGAACCTTACTTGTATTATGCACGTTCAGCCACACCTGCCTTGTTCAATAAAATCCTGAACCAGCTCCCTAGTGTGGTGTGGTCTCCAGGTGTGGCAGAAGGGTTGGGAAAGCTTTCACCACAGTTGGATGCTGTCTGGCTGTCACTCAGACTTAAAGGTCATGCACCTGAGATGGGACCAAGTCATGGGCACTGAGGCCCCTAACTCTCACCTTCAGTCCTTCCTGTGGGGTTGGCCATCCTGTCTACTCTCTCCAGCTATCTGCAAGACATTGCAACTGCTCTGAGAACCAGGCTTGGAGAAGGTGCCCTGGCCAGTCAGGCTACATGCTCCTCCCAGGTTCAGTGACTATCTGAGCAAGGGCACTGAGCTAGGTCTGTCCTTGGGTATTGTGGCTCTTGCTGGGGTTTTATTTGTTTCAGGTTGAGACTGCCTTAAGCAGAGTGCTTAGGCCCAGAATGTCCAGATCTCAGAGATCTGCGGGATTGGGGAAAATCTTCACATTTGCTGTGAGATTTCCTGGGGATGAGATCCACAATTGAGCAATTTGTTCATGTGCTCTAAAGCTAAGGGAGATATGAATAGATCCAACTTAGGCGGCTGGTGAGATCACCCTGATAGAAACTCAACTCATTCCTCTATGCAGATGGGAGGACACTATCAAGAACTGGTTTGTGGGCTGGGGTGCAGGTGTTCAGTATCTCTTCATCTTGTCATCGATCTAAGATACCAATGATGGAAGTATAGTTTCATTCACAGAAGATGACTTTGTGCTCCTTGGGTCTCAGTACCTGGGGCTACCCTTCTCCTGGAATCCAGGTGATCACAGTTCTAGGAGAGGAGCTACAGGTTTCTGAGATGAGCTGACAATCCCTGTCAACCTCTCACCTGTTCCTGAGTTTTGAAGATGAGACCAGGAAAATACAGGGTTGACCAACCATTTCCAGCCAGATTCTAAATGACTAAGAGGCCCCATGCAGATCTGAGATGAGTTCTGACCCTGAACTTACAGTGACAATGAGAGAAATCATAGTCAAGCTGTGTCCTTCTGTTAAACAAAAAGACATCTGCAGCCTCAGGGAAGAGCCATAGTTCATGGCAAAAAAATTATGTTAAAGCTCCACACTCTCCTAGAGCTGAACACAGATCCCACTGGTAATGAGCAGGTAGCAAGCACCTTAGCCTCAATCCTCAGTGTTCCGCACCCATAAGGTCAGCTGCACCAGTGTCCATGCAGGTGGCAGGGCTGATCATGCTGAAATTCTATGAACAAGGGAGGTCCATGTCAGATCTCATCCACCTCATAGGGCATGGCCTGTCTCCCCAAAGTGCTCTTCAGGTTGTCAGCTAGAAGACATAACCCTGAGAAAACAGACAGGCTACACATGCAAGTCTTAAGTAGAATAGAGTTGCTTCCTAATGTGGCCACTAATGGCACCATGTTTAGCCATATCTAATCAGGCTAAAACAATTAGGAACACAAGAAAAATAATGTCTAACATCACAGGCAATGTTGGTCCTGTACTGGGAACCAGTATGTCATGGAGTTTTCTCCATCTCTGTCCTTCAGAACATTCATACACTTCAGGAATATCTTGCATTTGATATAAAAGCAAGTCAGCCATAATTAGAGGAACAAGCTCTGGAAGTTTTTATCATATTAACCTAGATTTTCACATTTAAAGCAAAATTTAGAATGTGTGGTCCATAGTATAATCATGTGATTTTGTACTTGAGATCTACAATGTTTCAGGATAATTATAAAGGGGTGAAGGAGACATCTAAGTACAATAAGTGCTTCCCTGGTAAGCTCAAGGGCCTGAGTTCATTGCCCAGCTTAAAAAAAAGAAAAAAGAAAAAGAATAATGATAAAAATAAGACAACCAGGAGTGTGTGGTAGAGCTTCAGGCTACCCTGTGTCTGCTGGACCTACCGGTCACAGCCCAGATGCAGTGCAGTTGAGACTCTCTTCCACCTCCTTGGAACCTCCCCACACCATTTCATAGCATGCCCCCCACCCCGCCGACCCAGTGAGAACTTCTGCCACATGCTGGGAACCACCAGATGAAGTCCAAGCCCAGGCCCCGGTGAGTGTGTGGGAGAGATTCCGACTACCCTGTGCTGGCGGGACCTGCCAGTCCCAGCCCAGGCGCAGCGTGGATGAGATCCTCTTCCAACACATTGCGACCCCCACCACCACTCTGCAGCACCACCTGCCACCCCATGAGAATTTCTGCTACATAATGGGGACCCTGAGATCCAGTCCTAGACCAGGCCCGTGAGTGTGTGTGAGAGTTTCCTGCCACCCTGTGCCGGCAGGGCCTGCCAGTCCCAGCACAGGCACAGCATGGGTGAGACCCACTTTCACCCTCTTGGGACACCCCCACCACTCCTCATCAGCCCCTCACCTTGCCTGCCTAGTGAGAATTTCTGACTTGTTCTGGGGAACCACAGATCCAGTCCTAGCACAGGTCTAGTGGGTGTCTGGGAGAGCTTCCTCTCCCCCCTACAGACTCAGATCAGGCCTGGTATAGAGGCCTGAGTTGAAACCCTGCAACTGTAATTCTTGCAGAAAGAGTAGGGACAAATCCATGCAGCTATCCAGGAGCAGAACATCTTACCAGAGGGGCACAACAGGATCACTCCCAAGGGCAGAAGCAGGAAGGAGCTGAGCACAGCAGCCAGACCCAAGCCAAGCACAGAAGGATAAATCCAAACTTTGTAGATCTGCACCTGAATTTCAGTAGGTGCTAAGGTTATAACTGCACCAAAGCTCTACAACAAAGGTCAGAAGACAGTGCTAAACAAAATGACAATGAGAAGGATGAAAATGAAATCTAAGACCCCCAAGCCCACCCATAACAACTGCAGAGGACACTAATACAGAAAAAATTGGGAACCACACAGCTGAAATCAATGAATCGATGGCTTTTGAAATAAAGAAACAACTACAGAAATGTATGAAGGAACTCAGATTGGAAATGAAAAAAGAAGTCCCTGAATTAATAGCCTCTGCAGTAAAGAATCAAATGCAGAAACATATTGAGGAAACCCAATGGCCACCCAGAACAAGTATAGAGGACACTAGCTCAGCTCAAATGTATGAATTAATAGCGATGATAGTAAATAAGCAACAGCTGAAAGTTACAGAGGAACTCAGCGGAATTCTCTTCTACAAGCTCAGCTCAAATGTATGAACTAATAGCATCAATAGTAAATAAGAAACAGCAGAAACTTATAGAGGAACTCAGAAAGGAATTCTTTTCTGAAACAAGAAAAGAATTCTCTGAACTGATAGCATCTGAAATAAAGAATCAACTACAGAAACATAGGTAGGAAAACAAATCTGAATAAAATATTACAGGAAAGAATTAATCACTGCTTCTAAAGAGGACATTGATAAAAAAATAGAGGAGATTAGAAAAATGTTGGATTCCTTGAATGAGCAATAAAAGAAAGAAATAGATCGCATGAAGCAGAGTCAAAGACATATAGAGGAAATTAAAATCTCAATCACAAGCTTACAAAACAAAATTTGAGTGAAAGTGAAGACAGAGTTTCAGATCTTGAAGATGCTGGTGCAGCTAGTGAAAAGGTAAGAAAAGATATCTTTTTTAAAAAAAACTGGGATGCAGGAAAAAATAATTCATAACTTGCAAGATAATGCAAAGATGAAAAATGTGAGACTAATAGGTATCACTGAGAAAGAAAGAGTCAATACAAAGGACATTTAAAAAAATGGGCAAAAGTAATAGCAGAAAGCTTCCCAAATATGAGGAAACAATCTGACATTCAGGTAATGGAAGCATAAAGGAAGCCAATAAACCTCAAAAAAAAAAAAACCCAAAAAACAGACAGAGACATACAATAATCAAGATCCCAGAAATCGAGCACAAGAATAATATACTGAAAGCTGTAGAGAAAATAAGTAGATCACATTCAAAGGAAAACACATCAGAATTACGGCCGACTTCTCTTCACAAACCATGAAG